TGACATGTCATTTGCATAAATTAGGAACAGTAACGGACCTAATATGCTTCCTTGTGGAACACCACAGCTCACTGGGAGGGGGGGGGACAGAGTACCGTTTACCTCCACCATCTGTTCCCTCCCCTCCAGGTAGGATTGCATCCAGCTCACCGATAGTTTATCAAAACCAATTGCTTTTAGCTTGTCAATCAGAATGGGGTGATTGACAGTGTCGAAAGCCTTTTGTAGGTCCAGCATCACCATGCCGCAGTATTTACCCTCGTCCACCTCTTGTTTGATGTGGTCGTTCAAATAAAGAAGGCATGTGTCAGTGGAGTGGGATGTTCTAAAGCCAGATTGAAATTCATAGATTAGATTCTTTTCCGCGAGGTACTTTTCGACCTGTTCATATACTATCTTTTCCATGACTTTCGAGATGGAGGTAAGTATAGAAACAGGGCGGTAGTTGTCTGGGTCCAATTTGCTGCCCTTTTTGTGCAGGGGGGTTACTCTTGCAATTTTGAAGTCTTTGGGTACTTTTCCCTGTTTTATGGAGAGGTTAATTATGTGAGCTATGACTGGTGAGATGGCGGTTGCTGTGTCTCTGAGGAATTTGGAGGGGATATTGTCGTGGCCAGTGGCCTTGTTAGGGTTGAGGGCGCTCAGTTTAATGAGGGAGGGTGGGGGCTGGAGCTACAACGAGGCAGAGTGTGAAATTCAGTGAATACACGTAGTTTACAGAGATGCTGTATGAGAAACCAATGTGAGTTTGGAAAAATGCACAATATAAATCTATTCTAGTAGACCTCAACAATGGAATTATGATCAGTGGAAATGGCCATGACACCTCTCCTTTAAGAAGGAGAGGCTGTTGAAAGTAGAATTAACATAAAGGTAGCCTTCCTGATCAAACTAAGGCTGAGCTTCATAACTCGTAGTGACTCTGTAGGCCAGGGAAAATTGATATCTCACAAGGGACCACACACACACACACACACACACACACACACACACACACACACACACACACACACACACACACACACACACACACACACACACACACACACACAGTGAGGTCTCCCTGCTCTCGTGAGAGGCACAGCATCTAACTGCCAAGAACAGAGGTTGTATTAATCTTCTTAACATTTGAATCCCTTTCGTCTCAGTCACTCCAGTTTATAATCAAAAGCTGAGGAGCAGTTAACAAAGTAGAGTTTGGACTGATGTCAGTGTCGTCAGTTTTGCAGGTATTTGGTAATAAACCAAAGGGTGGGCCCCTACGTTTTTGGATAATGGTTGCACTTTATGAAAAGTCAGTGTACAGTGATAAAAAATAATTCTGAGGGAAACAAGAATATCTGACCCAAACATGTTCAGACAATCCTTCAAATAGTTGTCAAGACATGACGCCAGGAAAGTCAAGGGGTCACCATGAATGTTTGCTTTTGTGGCATCCTATTAAATGAGAGGCCTGTCTTCCCTCTCCTGTAGTGTGTTCTATAGGTTGTTTTGCATGTAATTGGTCTGCAAAGGCTACAATCTCCCCACCACTTCGCAAAAACAACAATGGCAGATCACAGGGTTGCTTTTGTGCTCCAGACGCTACTGACCATGCTACAGATGTTAGTGCAAAATCTACAGCTCCTCTACCACAACCATCAGCAACAAGTGGACATGGAGAACTACATGAACTACATGTTGCTAAATCCACCGCAGAGAATAAACAGAAGGGCAACCAGGCAACCATGGCAACCATGCTCGGGTCTTATTCGCTGCTTTTGGTGTATTTTGTGGTGGAAGTACAGCGCCACTTACAGGCCCGGCATATGTACTACAGCGCCTCCAGCGGGTCGAGCGGTCTCGTGTGGACGGACATGTTTCTGGTGCCGATTGCGTGTGGACGGAAGACTTTTTTGATATCGAATTCAGTTCGTTTTCATTATCGTTTCCGTGTGGCTAGGGTCTTAATTATAATTTGGCCTAATTGAGCCGTCAGCCAACAAGTCCAAAACAAAAACTCTGACAAACCCTAACCCCCCCACACTACTCCTACTGTTGTTTTTCTGCTCTGATCTGTCTGATCCCAGTCACCCTCCCATGAGGGGCCAAATGCAGCTTTAGTGCAGGCATTACAATGACAGATCTACATTGTTGTTGTTGTTGAAGCACGTATGCATTAAGTGGACTGCAAACAGACAACAAAGCCCCTCTGATCCTGCAGTCTGCTGTGACCTCCAAACTTCTGTTCAGTTTATCTAAGGGGCATGCTGGCCTTAATAACGGGGGGCCAGATAAAGGGTCCTATAGGGGGTCAGGGCTGGTGCTCATGAACAAGACGGTGTCACGCAAAGGGGATGAACTTTGTGTACATTGTACGTGTCAAACCGCAGTGAGGGATCAACCTCATGCTCTGTATTGTCTGCATTCATTTCATATCAGTGCTTCACTGTCCACATAAACAAATGTAAGGGCCTCAGCATCTTTTTATAATTGTTTGCAATGAGGTCAGAACGCAGTCATCGTATGCAGACGCCTTGAGAAACAGCAAAGCACCTAGCGTTTTATTTGTGGTGCACTGAGAGCGCTTCAAATCCCAAATATTTCAACTTTACAGAAAAGCCCTGGTGACGTCACAGTAGAAATGAAAGGAGAAGCCATAACAAAGTCTGAATGCATTTGATGAAACAGGTTCTAACAGGGTGCTCATCATGCCATGCCAATGATTCTCACTATTCAGAGCCATGATCTCCATCCATGAGGTCGTCTGTTTATGAAACATTTCCAACAAACAATGGAATATGGGGAACCTAATTTTACTATTTATATCACTTTCTAAAACGGACACAATCCCACCCACTTCATGCATTGTCCAGGTGAGAAAGTATTTGGAATTTGAGGTACTTTCCACAACTACTTCAACATGTTGTACCAAATTTTACCGACCATTTTGTAAATGTCGTATCTCTATCATTCTTTGACCATGTTGCACATTTATGTCCAAGAATGAAAGTACCCTGTTACAGTTAAAGTGAACTGTTACACCACTGTTACACCATTAAGAGCTTCCTTAACCTCTTAAGCCCTGAGCCTGTTTTTCAGGTCTCAGGCTCGAAAATGACATTCCCAGAACAAATGACCATATCTTCCCTTCTAAAAGGGTTAAATTAATAATCTTTTTTCTCAAAGTAATGATAAACCTGTGAGTTGGATGTAGAAAAGTCAGAATCAATATAGATGTTTTTTATTTTAAAGAAAATTCAGATTTTACATAGTAAAAAACTGTAAATTATAGTGTCCGTCCAAAAATTCTTTTTTACTTATAGTGTATACCATACCCTTGGATGATGGTAAGGTAGACTAAAAGCTTTAGGAATCCAAAGTACAACATATAATAAGTACCCTGTATCAAGATTGATGCAAAACAAGTGACATTTGACCTTTTTAGAGAGGTTTAGAAAAAAAGACTCCACCTCTGAGGTGATTTGGGTGGAAATGGGCGTTTTTGCCGTTTCTCTGGAACCCATTGGTCGATTTTGATGATTGACATCTCTTTTGAACCGTTAGAGCCAATAGAATCCACATACACACCAACGTTACCATTGAGAAGTGGGGGCTATGCGCACGCAGTTTGCCCAAAGCGAAACCTATTTTACGCTCTGAACTGTGAAAACGTAATAGTAGGTTTATTGCTTATGGATTATCAGAATCATTTCAAAGTGACACAGACACATTGGATTAACCTATGGATTAACCTTCAGCAGCGTTTTTATCGTTTTAATGCCATTGAAGACAACTTTTGATCAGACAACAACAAAGGTAAGACATATTGCCGTGTTGGCTACCTAATGCCACGTGTTGTGATGTCTGTTTTTGTTTCTAATGTCGCGAGTTCTGATCATGGAGTGATGATACAGATACCTATCGAATCTGTGTAATCTCACGATGCTAATCGATGGTTTGGATTTGCATTTACGATAAGTAATAAGGGTTTTGTACCGTGAGTTCTGTGCTAACGGCGTTAGCATTTTTTCACTCAGGGCTAATTCAGAGGCTCAGCGTTAGGGTTAGTGCTAGATCGTATACCTCCTGGGTTTTAGGCGGCGGAAGTGACGTAATCGTGGATGAGAAGGCACATTTAATTTAAATTTGCATGGGCTCTTCGCGACTCTGGAGTCCTGCAGGAATCCGGAGGACAGTGAACAGGAGTGAGAGGAAGCACACATAAAAAATCTCCCCCCTTTTTTTAAATAAACCTTGTACTGTGTGTGTCACTGTAATCCGAAATCAAACGCACTCAGTGGCTTTCTGAGTGTTAAATCCCATCTGTGCTTTTCTTCTTGTGAGATGTCATTTTTTTAAATATTAGTAATAGCCTGCTGTCCTCCAAAGTTATGAATTCTCAAAATATTATATTTATGATATTTTTGTGGAAAAATTATGTATTCATGCTTGTCTCTTATCCTGGGTGGCAGGTTACGTCACTTCCGCCTAAAACCCAGGAGGTATATGATCTAGCACTAACCCAGCGTTAGTCTTGTGTTTTTTTTTGCAAAAAATTGTTCATATCATCAGTTAGCTGAGTTTCTTCCCGTTACATGGATATGAAACATTCCTAGTTTATTAAATATTAAGAAGCCCTCAGACGCTGTTTCCTGCAGATGATGCGTTTTTTCCCCCGCCGGCGGGCGGATGGGGTTCAACAGGCTAACAAACATGTTAAATGCCATTTAACATGTCATGAGTCGATTGTTGCTAGTATTAAAAACCTGCACTATTTACAAAATGTTTACTGGCTAACAATCTTGTTCTTCCTGGATTGTTGCTTTTTTGCTTATACAGAACAAAGCATGCATCAATAATTACTCCACAGAGTACCTTAAATTCAAGCTAACGCCCTCTTCTTTTTAGAACAGTTGATAAGAGGTTTAGTTTTATATAAAAATGATGTTTTGTTGATCCATGGAGAAATGGAAGCATTACATTGGGTATCATGTATTCCAACAATGCAAAAGACAGAACAAGTGTGATAATATTTATACAAAAGCAGGAAAGAATAAGAAGTAAATATTACAAATACTTAGCTTTTTTTTAACCAACATATAACACAACAGCACATGCAATGCTCATCGTCTGAGAACAGAGAAATTAATATACAGCATACACTAACAACAGACAAAGTTGGGCATGGATTTTTAAGAAAGGAATCAAATGGAGCACTGTGACTGTGTTGGTGCAGAGTTCAGACCGGGGGGGCAGGCTGATCTCACTGGGGGTTCTGTGTCTAAAGGCTCCTCTCCAGACACACAGTCTTTAGGTCTGCCGGGCAGTTGACAGTGACCACGGAGTGGGAGGGGCTTCGTCTTTCCACGAGGGTGGCCACAGCCTCGCCCAGCTCCAGGTGGTTCAGGAACCCGGGGGCCATGCGCCCTGGAGTGCCTACACCTGCATTGATCTTCACCTGCAGGGCCCCGTGTGGAGGAAGAGGTGAGGAGAGGGGGGAGGACACATGAGAGAATGGGTAAATAGAGAGAAAAACTAAGAGGGAAAGAGGGACATGAAGTAATTGATGGGGACACAGAGACATCTCTGCAGCAGGATGTGCAACAGGACAGGTTCTAAACAACTCAACATTTAATCCAGATAAGTAAAATTACTTAATGTGCTAATATTATCATTGTGGCTAATTGTTCATCATTGCACAAAAAACAGCGTTTGTGAACTGTGCTGATTACAGAATGTCGAAATTCTGCTTAATTTCCGCAGCTGGGTGCAGGCACAGCGCTGTGATGGGTTCATTATAAGCCTTCCTTAGAGAGGTTAGTCTCCACTGCTCCACACTTTATTCGAATCATTCTCCTGAATGTAAAGTGCTCCACATGTAAAGTGCTCAAAGTTGACAATCGCATCTGAAGCTGTTAAGCGGCCTTCTTCAGATTTTAACATTAGTGTGTGTTGAGCAGCTCGTTAAGGCTTAAGGCCCGGACACACCAATCTGACAACAAAGAACTGACACAGACGGACCCCGACTGTTGCGTTGTCTCGCGTCTCTGCGTTTTGGCCATGTGTCGCACTGGCAAAAAAACAACCATATATCAGTTCATTGGGGTTCCCTGATGCTCACTTTCTGGGCATTTTTTTATAGGAGCCATAGTTTTTGAACAGGTGGCAAAATTGTCAGATATAATCCTCAATGCATTCTTAATGGGACTCAGTGCTGCAGTTGGTAACCATGGTGTTGCTGGGCAGATTGGGGCCACACACCTGAGTGACATCATCTAATCAGAGCAGACACGCCCACAGACAGACTGGTACACGCACACACATTATTATTTTTTCAACAAAAGTTGGAAAGGCTCTCCTTTCACTGCACATCTCCATGGGAACCTTTGATCTCTGGGCTCACGTACATAGATCTTTGATAACGTCGTCACCGTGGTAACCTCTGATCTCTGGGTTTACACACACAGGTGTTTGTAAACATGCATTCACTACTGATATCTGATATGTAACTCCTTCAGCCTACTTTCAGCTGCAGAAACCATTCAACTATTACATTATTCAGCTATTTCAGGACATTGAGGCTATACATGTTGTTGTTTATACCTTTTTTAAACATTTTCTTTTAAATATGAATCTTCTTCACTATTTTTCCTACTCTTCCAGTTTAACATTTCACTTTCAAGTTTTCAACAGTCATTGCAATGCATTTGAGCTGTAACAATTTGATTCAAATCATTTCACTTTTCTGCATTTCTCCGCTAAGTTCAGCAACACACTGACTTGGTCTCTGTAGCTACAAGCAGCTACCATTCAGCTAATAACATATTCAGCTTTTTCTGCATTTTCAGCTCAATTCAGCAACAAATGTTCACAGTTTACAGCATGCACACGCATTTTCAGCAGGAAATGCATTTTCTAGTTCTCTCTAGGATCTCTCCACTTGATGACATTTAAATCCAATGCTGAGCTGCAGCAGATCTGAGACTGTAAACGGAGGTCAGGTGAATATATCATTAGCTTTGAGCTTTTATAGAAGTCTTGCTGTGTGATTATGGAGAGTCTGACCTGGTTGAGTTTGCAGGGCACCTCAGGATACTCCTCCCGCAGAACCTGACAGAAGGCCAGGGTGCTGGCAGCGCCGACGGTCAGGAAGCCGGTCCCAGGCATCAGCAGCTTCTCCCCCGCTCCCCCTGAGAACACATCAACACACTGCAGTCACTCAGACACCAGGACAGGTCTGTGCGGCTGGGAACTAAGACCACAACACACTCCTCTATTAAAAACATCTCCTGAATTGGTCTTGTTACAATCGGTAAAAATGGTTAACAATTAGTGAACATTTTGTAGTATCCACATGTAAGGATGTCTCTTTTCATTTATCATGTGTTCTTTTTTCAATATTTATTGGTGGTGGGCGTGTTCCCTGGAGCTTGGGGTGGAGTTAGTGGTGTTTTTTTACCTGACTGTATTAACTGTGTTTTTTGCATGGACAGAGATGCTGTCCATGCTGTCACTCCCCCCCCCCCCCCCTAACACTAACAGTCGCAATCACCATTGCATTTGCAATTAGTCTCCTAACAGTATCTCGTGTTTAGCCCCCCTCGGGTCCTTCTGTTTGGACTGCCTTCACCCACAATAACTGTTGTTATAACATTTTGAATATGCTAATTTTCGAAGTAAATGTTTCACAATTATTTATTTTTTTAAATAAAAATAGATTGAGCAACTTGTTTGAGCTAATTTATCATCTTTAAGTTGAATGTTTCTGTTTTCCGGCCCTAATGCACTTCCAATGAAAAGCTCTATACAATACTGTGTAAACGTTGAAATTATCAAGATTTTTTAATAGTTTAATAACACATTTGCCACATCATCTTGATAGGTTATGTCCATAATAATATAGCATTTGTCTTGCTGACCCTAGGTAATCAGCTAAAGGGCCAGTTTGAGTTGTTTGAAGGAGGCCATCTATCGGTTGGAGTAAAAGTAAATCCAATGACTATTCACCTGTGATGAAGGTGTAGGTAGAGTTGGAGTCGTCCCTCACCAAGGGGAAGAAGGCCTTCCATGACACAAATGTACTGAAAAGTAATGTCTCAACTACCTGGAGGGAGATCAAACAAAAAACAATCAGACAAGAATCAGAATAGACAGGATGTAACAGGTGTCAGGTTTATGTGTGTGTGTGCATACCCAGTGCAGGTCTTTGAGGGACTGTGTGTGGGGGGGTCCTCCCTGCCACCAGCTGAAGCCCAGAGAGGACACAACATCTGTCACCTTCCCCACCGCCTTCAGCAGCGCCTGCTTCACCGTCTCTGCCCCCCCCTCTGAGCCTAGAACACAGAAC